CCAACATCCATGTTGAACGGTTAAATACTGGAGCAGCTGCCGCGCGCGCCAGGCGCGCTCAGTTGATACACTTCGAACATTTGGAGCGCGTTCCGCGGAGTGGTCGGCGCGGTCAGTCGTGGCACGCGCCAGGAGCGCGTAATCGATACGCGGCTTGACCTATTTTGTATGTAGTTGACTGCAGGTATCCATAAAGTGCAGTAGCTACTTATCATCAGATGGACTGCAGGTTAGATTGCCACTTGAGTTTCATAAAAAAAATCTATACGATAAACTAAAAAGTCATTATTACGTATAACCTTACTTCTCGCGGATTTTTTAATGTTATTAGTTTTTTTTTTTTTTTCATAAAATGCACTAACTACTTGCTCGCGCGCGCACTGTTTTAGTCTTATAGATTGGGAATAGCTTTATATATTTACAAATTCAATATTTTAGCTCGTACGAAGATATGGATTCACATAGAAGTCTTGCTTGAGTATATTCAAAATTATAGAATAATAGCATTGTCGAAGTTTGTGTTTCGTAGAGCTCCTACCTATCCGTGCATCTAATAAACACCTTAATAACCTTGTTAAGAACATGTAGTGTAGGAAATGAGCTATTAGTAAAACGAACGAGCAGGAAAATGTATATCATAGTCACTTAACGAGAACTGAATGAACAAGTGGTAAAATTAAAATTTTGAACAAATACATTTTATTGTTGTGTTTTTTTAAACTCCTCGACAAAATTTAAATGGGACCACCTGGGAAGTATAAAAAATAATTGAAACAAAAGAAGAATTTTCCAAATTGGTTCAGGCGTCTTTGAGTAATCGGTGAACATACATTAAAAAAAAGAACGAATTGAGAACCTCCTCCATTTTTGAAGTCATTACCAAAAACAAAACCTAGTCTAAGGTACAATTACCACAGTAACTAATTATATAATTAATTAAAAACGGTATAATAATTAAATACGGCAAAATTTTGTATGCTGGTGGTATCAGATAATTTATCACTATTATTATTTATTTCTATAAGTGTCCTAAAAGGAAACTAAAAGAGATATCAAGGAAATACCATGACTTTATTATAATGTATGCTTAAAAACTTCAGTGAAATACAATTGAACTAAAATATAAAAGTAATATTTCCTGTAAATATGCTTCATGTTTTATGAGTTATATATTTTAACAAGCAGAGGTTTTTCTTTGCATGCTAAGAACTTTGATGTTTCTGCTAACGAGTTCTTTTTATAACTTCCGTACTTTTTATAACGTCGGGTTACCTACTAACATTCTTGTCATTTGACCGTCAGTATGGCCTTACTAATTCTCTCTGAAATGTATAAAAAAATAACAATGAAATAACAATTTATTTTTTTATATTATTAAAAGTTTAAGATCCATCACCCAAATTCGTCCCGATTGTAGAAAAATGTAATGTTTTTTTTTATATAAAATAATTGAAACAAGTTTATTCATTATGTAACCATTTCAAAACATAGATTCTTATGACACTAAAGTTTATTCAAAACGACCTCCGTGATTTTGAATACAGGCCTTCAATCTGCGCGGCCAGTCATCTATCGCAGCACGAACGAGGTCCATGTCAATATCGGCGGCTGCCTTAATCAAGGATGTCTTGAGTGACTCCAAATTGGGATGAGGCTTTGAGCACGCCTTTTCCTCCAAGTGTTGCCATATCTTGTAATCTAACGGATTCAAATCTGGACTGGAGGAGGGCCATTCTTCGTGCCGGATGAAGTCGATTTCACGCGCCGCCAGCCAGTCTTGTGTGCTTTTCGCTCTATGAGCTGGCGCCGAATCTTGTTGGAATACCTCGTGCCTGTTATTGAACATGGTATGAGAAACAGATTCCACAAGGTTCGTCAGGACTGTATTTTGATACACAACTGCATTCGTTTTTACACCTTTCTCACAAAAATGTACCTCTGTTAAGCCCCACGGTCTTCTTTAAGCGTCCACTCCATATTTAAAAATGAGTAAAATTCTAAAAACTATACAGTTTTATTTTCGAAATTCGAATTTAATAACCTTTTTGTGGCCAGCATTCTAAAAGAAAAGTTTTTACTGTGTGACAATACTTATGACCTGACTAGGTAGTATGAGGGTGACAAACGAGCACACTGTCCATCTGATGGTAAGAGGATGTTGTGGTCAATAGACATCTATATCTATCCTCGATTAAGAATTAAAATGCAAATGCGTTGTTAAACCTAAGGATTAAAATGGAATAACTTGTTTTCTACCGACTTCAAAATGGAGACGGTACTCAATTCGACTGTATGTTTTTTTCTTTTTTCTCTTTTTATGTCTGTTACCTCATAATTTTTTCTGGGTGAACGGATTTCTATGATACTTCTCATGTGGTCCCATATAAATTTGATGAAGGTCTGACCAATAGTATTTGAGTTATTCTTAATAATTTATATTGAAGTCGGTAGTACAAAATATTTAATTATAAATTATCAAAAAAGGTTCTTTACACTAACCATAAGAAACACAGAAGTATTAAACTGCTATTTTACGCTGGTATTCTGTGAGAGAGCGGTCCTACCCCGGTCGATCCGACCCATTCGTTCTATAATCATAATATGACTGCAGCGTGGCTGTACCACGTAAAATACCCAACTTCTGATAGGTAACGTTATAACCATCAGATGATATGACGACATGAGTTGCCAGGCACAGGCAGGAATTCGCAGCAACGTTTCGCCTTAAAATTTTATGGGACGCGAGTAAACCCAGTTCGATCACCACCCGCACCAATGACATTATTATTTTTGCTCGGCGGTGAACAAAAATATCGCGAGGTTTCTTCAATCCTGTGTTTCTGAGAAATAAAATACTCAAACCAGCGATGGACAGCAACGTCAAAAGTATGACACGTCTGGCATAGTGTATATTTATTTATGATTGCAACTGTGAATTCGCGACCAGTTCACGCCATAAAATTTCATGGTACGCGATTAAGCCCACTTCGATTACCGCCTGCACCAATGACATTGTTATTTTTGCTCGGCGATGAAGGAAAATATCATGAGATTTCTACCACTCTGCATGTCTTAGAGATAAAAGCAAAAAAATTTCGAAAAATATGTGAAGTGCCAATACACATTGTGTAGTGCAGCGGGCCTTTTTCCAGTGTTACCTCACACGAGACAGTTCATTTGCTCCAAGCGGAAGGACGTAGGTACGTGCGTGATTTATTTTAATTCACTAACACACAACGGCACTGTTCACGTACACAAATCTGTGTGCATGTGTGTGTGGTACGTAATTACGAAGTTTGTTTTATACATTTTATCAAGAGTGGGCAGGGTGTGATGGAGCGTTATTTTCTGTCATAATATAATATACCTACAGTTTCACACACAAATAGTTGCCTTGAATCCAATACATGGTTATGATAAAGCGGCACATTAAATTTTTTAAACCAATTACAGTGTGTATGTCATGCTAAAGGCGGGAATATACATGCCATCAAATTAGGGAATTAGCTTGCATGCAAAGTCATTACTTGCCAATAAATGGCACACTGAGGATACATTTGCTAATAAAAATGTATGCAAAATTGTATGCAGTATGTGCCACGTGAGGTTTGTTATGCGGTTTGCATCACCACTCTTGCCGCACATTGCATGCCAAAAAACCAAATGTTGCGCAGTCTACTTGCATGCCAGTTACAAGCATGCCGTTTGACACATTATATACATGATAGTAGCTGGCACGTTCAAAGAGCTGGTATCATCGATCACTAACAAAACTAGATACACAGTCGCAGACAAAAATGTCCTTACCGAATGAGCGCCCACTCGAACATTTGGGTGCGCTTTTAATTTGTACGTAGGTTTGTGAATACAACTTTAGACAATGCAGTTAAGGTTGAATTTACATTAATTTATATTTATTTCAACTAGAATTACGTCAAAACAATTGGCGACAGTTTTTAGAGAAATTTTGCATGGGATTGTGTACCTAGATTTTTATTAGTGATCGATGGCTGGTATACCATTAATAAAGGTACTGTCATGTGTATTTCCACCTTAATTTTTTTTATATAAAACTGAAGTGACCAATGAACTTAAGTCTACCTGATGGGAAATGGCTACTGCAGCCTGCAGCCAACTTCATACAAAGAAGGCTCTATATGCGTAACCTTTGAGGACTAAGATGGAATGCTTCACAGCTTGTATTTACACTGGCTCTAGACTTGTCAAATCGGAACAAAGCAATTCAAGTATTTGGCGGCAGAAATAGGTAAGAGGTACCTAACCTACCTTGACGGACTACTAGTAGAAAAGTGTTAGGACCCATTTTCTATCTAGATAGAAAAGGAGTCCTAACACTTTTCTAAAATGTCCTACAAACCGAAATTCGGTCACAGCGGCCAGTCTCAACGGAGACTAGCCATCTCTGCAGGACAGGATTATAGTGCCCGAGTGTTAATGGAGGTAAAGAGTTAACCGCTACAGCCTTCTAAAGTACTACTGCTGAACATATGCCTATCCCATAATTTGCCTCATATAGGGGATATTTGCCATAGTTGCCACGCTTGGTAAGCGGATTGGCAACCGCGGTTTTTATTTTTAGTCGTTATCAGGAAGACGCTGCCAAACTCCTGATTTGTTTCCCTCTGTCGCCTCTTACGACACCCACGTGATGATGTTGGGTAGTGGATATTCTTACACCGCCACTACACGGTAAGCATGTTTATTAATACAGTATAGATAGAGTAACGACTTGGTAAGGCATGCAGAAAGTCAATGGACGCAGGTGGGTCAGGAATGTGTATTGTGGTGGGAGGCCTATGTTCAGCAGTGGACTTGTGAAGGGCTATAATAAATGAATAAATATTAATTTAACAGAATCAAAGATGAAACATGCTCAGAAGGGCTAGAACCCAGAGCCGTAAAGCCAGTTTAAAAAATCAAAGATGAAAATAGTAATGATGTACATGAAAGTGTAATTAATAATAATACTTGTTTGTTAGTGCGCAGCAGGGCGCGCCGCGTGGCAGGAGGCGGCGGCCGTCTCGGTGGGCGGCGGTGTCGGCGGCGCGGGCGGCGCTGCTCGCCGCTGCTCGGTCCTCGGCGACCACCCCGGTGCCAGGCGCGACCCGCGCTCCAAGTGGCACCGCACCAACCGGGTAATCATCAAGAGAACAAAACGCGCCCCACTGCATGGCACAGCTCACCGCGTCAAAAAAGTACGAATCTTCTATACCGAGATCGACAATCTCCCCCGAGTAGAACCCTCTGTCGTAGTGGAGTTACCTCTAGTTACCCCAGACTGAATTTTCTTCCTTAGCGAATCTATTCTATGTTGATGAATGGTGGAAAACAGATGTTCTATTCCAGTTAGTATTATTTGGAAAATGTTGAGATGGTTTGTTATATTTACTATATTTTATATTCTTTACTGTAGAGTTCCTTCGTAAAACTAAACCTTTGGTGATTACTTATTTATTTTCACTTTCCCTAAAGTTCTATATTAGATTGACAACTCTAAAGCTTTTTGTTTAAAGCAATGTTTAATCGTTGAGTAAGTTTTCGTTTTTGACACCCGTATTTGGTGAAGTTAATTAAACAACACTTCTTAAACATAATTTTTTTTTATTTTTACAATGCAATTTTGCACGTTTAGAAAGCTTATCGCCAATTTTTATTTGCATCGCCTTCCTTAAATTTTTATGTTAGATTCCTTCTTCTGCAGTAATATTTTTTATTTATTAAATATTACGTGCTTATGTTTAGTTTTCATGATTTGTGTTTAAAGTCTTAATGTGTTAGAGCTAAATATTTCTATATTAGTAAAAAAATATATAGCTGCGCCTAATTCAACTTTAATATAATGAATGAAACTTTAAATAAAATAGATTGAACCTAAGCTCAGTTATAGAATCGCTTTGCAAAAGTTATTAAATTTGCACTCACAGAATCATGTGAATGTTCGAACCTAGCCGTTGCTTTTCATATTTGATTGATTTTACAGGTTCGGGACGCTTCTTATGGTTCTTCGTCAGAATCAGATGGGGAAGCGGAGGGCGCGAGTGGGGAGCCGTGGGGAGTTGCAAGACTGCTATACGCCGGCCTAGCAACACTTGCTGTCGGCCTCGTCGTCTACTTTGTTGGCACCGGCGACAAGGTATAATACTTTCTATTGTATGTTCCATCCATCCACTAGAAAAAAAAACCAGTGCTGGAGATAGAAGTTTTACCGTAATTACAGTCCCAACCCTCAGCTTGGGTTAAAGGGGGTAAAACTAGTTTTTTCTTTTACTTAGATTAAGCTACTGACTTTAAGGTGAATGGGATTTTTGGGCCTCAAGTTAACAGGTTGAGATAAACTTTAAACAATTTGCTATATTTTACTAGTGTAAATTACAAAAAAAAACTAGCTCATTTTATAATCTAGATTACGAAAAAAAATTAAATAATAAATTATTTACAAAATCGATTATTTCATGGACTATATTTTATTCGGATCCGAAAAAAATATAGCTTCTAAAGTTCAATTTTAATTACCTATATTAATTACTTTGAATGATATATGAATCCATTTGAAATTAAAATACATACATTTGTTGAAGGAAAAATTGATATAAACATTTTATGTCAATAAATCGAGTAACATAAAGAATCAACCATAAGTAATTCTCATTTCTGGACGCTATATATGTATACTAAACGTCTCTGAAAAATTTCTTCTCCTTCGACTCTACCAGGTGTAATAGTGTTCTGTGGACTATTCTCATTTTAAAACTTGACAATAGAAAGTAAATTTTTTCTTCATTCTAAATTTTGAAACGAGCGCAATATAATCTGTTATTTGATTCATTCAAATATTATCACACACGTCTTGAATAAAGATGATCTATTCGAACATAGCAACATAGATAAAATGGCTTCGCGTTGTTCGCGTTTCGCGTTGATATAGAAATTCCATGCCTTATCTCCAAATAACCGATTTTAAATTAATCGATTTTAGATCAATATCTCTTCACTTTTAGATCACTTTACTTGTTACTACACTACACTAGTCGTCCTTTCGATTTACGACTTTAATTAATCGTTTCTTTCACCATTTCGTTTCCTGGCTAAACACAGCTTTTCTTTCGTGATTTTACATACTGGTCCTTGCCTCTTTATTACACACCGTGAATCTTGCCTGTACGACTGATCCGGCCTTGTCATTATGGAATATAACACAAGTCTATTTATTGATTGGATATTGACATCATGAAGCGCTTTGTTGATTGTGGCATAGCGACAGGCATCTATTATAAAGACCTATATTATGTAAATTATATGGTATCTTTTTTAGGCGCGGTAGCATACACATAGGGTCACCTAGCTTGACAATATTACTTGATAATAATTGTAGACAATTAAAATATCTAAAAATGTGTTTTTCTTTGAAATAACGAACTAACTTCATATTCCTAAATTAAAATTCGTCTTAAATATTAGGATCTACCTTATTTAAGCGGTAAATAAGGTAGATCCTAATATTTAAGACGTATTAATTCGTGCTGAAAAAAACACTTATCAATGTCAGAGGTGAGGGATTCGATCCCTAGTTACTTACTTACTTACTTATCTTCACGCACAATCCCTGACGGGGTAGCCAGAGAGAACAGATCAGATCGCCAAGTGTCACGATCCTTACATACCTCTTTCGCTTCTTTCAGATTCATTATCTTCTTCATACATGCACGTCTAGGTATCCGAGTACTCTTGACCCTACCCTCTTCGAGCAATTTGCTCACATGGTCTTCGAAAGTTAGTCTCGGTCTACCTCGACACCTTTTAATATTAACTTTCGCGCTATATATTTTCTTCACCATTCGGTCTTCACTCATTCGCTCAACGTGCCCAAACCACCGAAGCACGCCCTTATCAATTTTTGTGATAAGGTCATCTTTCAAACCCGCCATATTGCGAATCTCTTCGTTTCGCTTTCGGTCGGCCATGGTAACGCCGCACATTTTACGAAGTGATCGCATCTCCACTGCATTCAACTTGCTTTTATGCTTCTTCTGGCATACCCAGGTTTCGCTGCCATATAACAAAGTCGGTACCAACACTGCGTTATGTATTGCAAGGCGTGCACTCTTCACTACGCCTTGCCTTTTGACTAACGCAGTCAGGGCACCATTGACTTTGTTCCCGGCAGCGACACGCCTGTCCACATCTAAATCACATCTTCCATCCCGGCTAAAAGCACTCCCCAAGTATACAATTTCATTTACTTGTTCTAGACATTCCTAGTTAAAACAAGTAAAAGTAATTTCTGACCTCACAGAAAACCAGCGTAAAATAGCAGCTTAACGCTACTGTGTTTCGTATGGTGAGTGTAGAGAACCGGAGACCCTTTATACTGGCAAAGAGGCATTCCATCTTAGTCCTCACAGGTGACAACGCATCTGCATCTTGAGTCTTTATTGAGGATATAGATGTAGATGTCTATGGGTCACAGTAACCACTTACCATCAGGTGGACTGTGTGCTCGTTTGTCACCCGATCCTATAAAAAAAATAATTCGTCATCATCATCATCGCCTCATTTTCGTATTACATATTGATAAAACTCGCTTTTAAGGAGAAAATGCTTTCCTGATTGTTGTCGAAATTAACTTATGTCAGCTTGATGGACTATTCATTTACTACTAGAATTACAAGGAACTTGTGTCCAGCAATAGAATAGCTTATAAAATAAGAGATAATTTTGTTATTTGAGATTCTTACTAAAAGCGAAGTAAGTATGCGTTAAGCTCCATTTTAGGTTCATACGTATTATGTTCATACGTTATATTTAAAGTAGGTATGCGACTGCCTTGTTGGTCTAGCGGTTGTAGTAGTGCGGCTGCTGGTCATGAGGTCCCGGGTTCGAATCCCGGACCGGGTCAGAAATTCAGTCTGGAGGACCTTATTATTATTAGGTATGCGAGTTTATAAATATAATTGGTTTTTTGAATCTTCATTTGACATGTGAATAATATTGAGAAAGTAAATATTTACATTTAATTATAATTATAAATCAACACAAGTGCCTAAGCACTATGCTCAATGGCCTCAATAGTGTTTCCCAACGGATAGGTCTTAAGATGAACATGGACAAAACAAAGATCATGTTTAATGTCCATGTCACACCTATGCCGGTAGTTGTTGGGAACACTAAGCTCGAAGTTGTTGACGAGTATGTTTACCTGGGACAAATAGTCCGCCTAGGTAAGTCCAACTTCGACCGAGAGGTCAATCGACGGATTCAACTCGGCTGGGCAGCGTTCGGGAAGCTACAACACATCTTCTCGTCAGACATACCTCAAAACCTTAAAACGAAATTGTACAACCAGGGCGTGTTGCCAGTGATGACTTACGGAACTGAGACGTGGTCCTTCACTGCTGGCCGTATGAGGAAGCTCAAGGTCGCTCAGCGAGCTATGGAGAGGGCTATGCTCGGAGTTTCTCTGCGTGATAAACTTAGGAATGAGGATATCCGCAGTAGAACCAGAATAACCGACATAGCCCAACGAATTAGTAAGCTGAAGTGGCAGTGGGCCGGCCATATAGCTCGAAGAACCGACAACCGATGGGGAAAAAAGGTTCTCGAGTGGCAGCCTCGTACCGGTAGGCGAAGTGTAGGGCGTCCCCCCACGAGATGGAGTGACGACCTGGTAAGACATGCAGGAAGTCGATGGATGCAGGTGGCTCAGGACCGTGCTTTGTGGCATTCTTTGGGGGAGGCCTATGTTCAGCAGTGGACTTGTGAAGGGCTGTAATGATGATGATGATGATAAATCAACACAAGAAAGAACAGATAACACACACAAAGAACACACAAAGAACACATAAAGAAAGGAGATTATATATGAGTCCGTGCGTGTCGGTGTTACCTGAAATGTACGCAGCGCTCCGTCTATCTTTGTTTGTTGTACTGTTTACTCTGATATTCTGTGCAAGCGTAGTCGAGTAGGTGGGCCATTCGAGTTGCAGCCATAATACGCTGTTACGAGTATGTAGTGTAATGTGGCTCTGCCACGTACAAGATGCTTAAAGTTTCGCAATCACCTATGTAAAAATTCTTTCCACTTTCTGTTATGGGTACAGCGCATAGCAGTAAATCAACCTAAAGTAGGAGAAGAGGAGGTGGAAACCTAGAAGTTACTTCATAGATGATACTAATCTATAATTTAGTTTTAGCGCGGAGTCACATAGCCGTAAAATATACATCAACCGCTCAGTATGTAGTTAAGTTACGAAAAAAAAATTAAATAATAAATTATTTACAAAATCGATTATTTCATCGACTATATTTTATTCGGATCCGAAAAAATATAGCTTCTAAAGTTCAATTTTAATTAACTATATTAATTACTTTGAATGATATATGAATCCATTTGAAATTAAAATACATACATACAGGTGTGACACCCCTAGTGTTTTGCCAATTATAATTGAAGTAGCAAATTGTAGGCCAAATTACTAGCAGGCGTACCATCTTAGTCCACGACTTTGATCTGTTATACGGAACAAAGGTCCCCAAACGTTCAAGCACCTACATCTTGATCTATTGAATCTATACGAGTGTAAACGTTTCTACTGCATCAGATCTGAGGCACAGTGAACACTACATGCCATCATGTTTATTTTTTTAATATTCTTAATGAAATATAAAATACGACTTCATCGAATATGCAATAAAGATAACAAACAAATTATAACTACATGTTATACGTTCAGCTAGCTAGTTAGACTGTCATAAGTTTAGAATTTGATAGTCCTGTTATTTAGTTCCTGGTGCAAATTATAGAAACTTACTCCACTAAAATAACAGCTATTAAGTCCGCAATATATTACTGACGACCTGATTGCTAATAGAAGAAAATGTTTGAGGCTTACAAAGCATTGTAAGCCTCAAACTTTTTTGTCTGAAATTCTTTTCACTCGTTTAAGGCAGATGGTACCTGATTTATACAAAACAATGTGCTTCGTCATTTTGTGTGCAGAGCAATAGCATAGAATTTGGCGCCAGCGTTAAAATCTGACGAAAAGTGTAGACGAAATAACTGGTTTATTAAGATTTATTGAACACGGGAGTGAATAGGTATTTTGTAAGACAAACATGATAGAGTCACGCTTCAGCTACTCGTATATTATGATTGTAGTACGAACGGGTCGGCGCGACGGGGGAAGGATTACGCTCACATAGAACACCAGCGTAAAATAGCAGCTCATTGCTGTCAAGAGAAGTGGAGACTTTTAAATTTAACGAGGCATGCCATCTTAGTCTCCAGGGGAGACAACGCATCTGCATTTTGATTCCTAATCGAGGATGGATGTAGATATCTATGAGTGTGGCCCATGAATTGTATTTGAATTGTAATGGAGGATAAATGTAGATGTCTATGGGCCACAGTATCCACTTACTGGATGCTGGCCTGGTGGACTAAGTGCTCGTTTGTCAGCCTTATGCTATAAAAATATTCTGGTGTATTTCGTTTATTGATTGTAAATAACGGGATACCCTTGTTACTGAAAACGAGGTATATTAATATTATATTAATACTGAGGGGTGAAGACGCATCTACATATTGATTCTTAACGTAGGCAGATGTAGATGTCTATGGATCACAGCATCCACTTACCACAAGGTAGATTGTGTGCTCGTTTATCACCCTTATTCTTTGAAATAAAATAAATTAATAAACGTGCAAACTAATTTTATCACTACGCTTGTTATATAACTTCTTATGCGTTATCCATTGCATGGGATTGAGGTCAAATATTCACCTACATGAAAGAGTAATACTTACACAATGGATCTTTATCAAAGTTTCGTTGTCTCTTAATGATTTCTTATATTTACGCAAAGGCTACACATTAAATGAAACTATTTTTTTACGGATTCTATCGCGTTTAATTTAACTTTTTAATTCCCGACGTTACCGACTCTTTTTAAACCCGCGTAAAAGAAGATATAGCTGACTTGAAGCACCGACTCGTATTCCGAGCAGTCTGCAGTCTGTGAACATGTTCAATATCGTCCCCGCCATTACATTAGATTTGATAGACTACAAATCCTAGCAAAAGAACGCCGATTCCTACCAAGGATGATTCGCGAGTCTATTGAAATTAAAAAACATTATAATTTCAATAGAGAAGATGGATGGGTCCTGCCATCTGCTTGGGATCATATAATTAATCAATTTAAATACAAATCCGAACCTACCACTACAAGACTTCAAGATACTTTAAGCTCATTCTGTGTAGATCGAACCAAAAATTAATATACAAAAACTGAAGGTAGCCGCGGTAACTATGACAGGAACGTCAAACACCTCAGTCCCCCATGTGACCATGAAATTAGTTTCATTTAATTTCTTTGTCTCTGTTGGTCTGGGACTAATAAGTCTCATATTTGTGTGCGAATTATAATATATAGAATGTGTCAACTATCAGACCGCGGGTCAGACGCTTGACTTATCTAGCGTATCGTAATAAACGACTTGTTGGGTTTGTGATTGTGTAAGCGATAGACTAGTCATTTATCATTTCTTTTACAGTTTTACATTCAACATCATATGTTTTGGGTAAACATGCTCCGAGTAGCTCGCTGCGCTTGTGAATCTTACTACTCCCTGGAGATTATAGGCGTGACGTTGTATCTAAATCTTTATCAGATATACAAATTTACATAGCAACTATAATTTCTTGCAATGTCACTATATATCCCAATATCCTCACAAACAAAGAACGCGGAAAGAGGAATGTTGCCACACACATTCAAATGATTTGTGGATGTTGAAATGGATGTAAATATTTAATTGGATCTATCTGATATTAAATAAGCATTGGAAGCTATAAAATATGTTTGTAGGTATTAATAAGCGTGCACTGAGTTCTGTATCACTTAATTATAAAATGAAATTTCTATAAACTATTACTTTCTATTCTAAAATTATTACATGTATCAGCACTACCAATCCAGCAGTGGATAGATGATAAAACATAGTAAAGGCATCCCTATCGCCTCGTTACCTTAAAGTGTCAGTGAAAGAGAATCAAACATTTATCAGATTTCGTCTTTTGGGTACGTAGTACAATTATTTATTCTGTGCTTTGGGTGACAGAATCGAGTAAAATAAACTGAAGATTTTGTGACTTTCAATAGATTGCGTAATAACCATTTCGCTTATGTATGCCAGATGAGGTTTACTATGCCGAACAGTCATTACCGTTACAGCCTATTAAATTCCACTACTGAACATAGGCCTCCCCCATAGATTGCTTCATAGGGATTTATGTCATTGTTGCCACGCGTGCAGGTTGCAACCGGGTTAGCAACCGCAGTTTTTATAGTTTTTTGGTGGTTATTAGGAAGACGCTGCTGCCCATTGAGTTATATGTACTACGTACTAGAGAAGCCATTCCGAACATTGACTATGTTCAACTGAACTGTAGTGCAATCAAAAATACAAACTAAATATTGCGTAAATTGAAGATTTGTGAATTCCATAAAATAATTATTATTACATTTTAGAAATATGTTTGTTTAGATTAAATTAAGATATTTTATATTAAATTCTTATATTTATTTTATATTAATATCTTATATTAAAGTCTCCGCGCATGCGCGACTACTACTCCCGCGTATGCGCGAAGACATAGAGTAGGACACAATTTTTGTTTGGAATGGCTTCTCTAGTACTTAGTACATATAACTCAATGCTGCTGCCTATCTACTGATTTACCGTATAGTGGCGGTGTAAGAACTACTCCATATAATCCGTCGTCCGCGACAGATGGAAACAAATCAGGAACAGTCTACTTACAAATTATTAATAGCAGACAAATTGTAATGCTTTCTGTGGCATTACAGGGTTTCAAGACTCCTGCACTTCGACTGGTGGGTCCGTCGCTCATCGTAGCCGGGCTCGCTTGTTGTCTGCTACGTATTATGTTTTGCATATTTGCGAAACCTTGTTGTCGACGACGGACCAACTACAAGGAGAACAGAAGGTAACAACATGGACTATTGACCTTCAATTATATTACCTACTTAATAAATGTATTAATTTTTAATGACAAGCATATGTTAATATCTTCCTAAAGACATCCCTATAATTTCCCGTAAACTCATAGACTGGTAGGGAATACTTTTAGCATTAAATCCGCCATTTGTTCCTTTATATCAAGTAAGGTTAATAAAGAATAAAAAAAGAAATAAAATCATCGAACGTTATTCGTTACGGGTTAGTCAGGTTTACGCACCGACCTTAACACATCCCAAAAAAAGGTGGAGCAATGTATATATATATCGAAAGTTAAGGTCTGAAATACTCACTACACCGTGTTGATAAGAGGAATCAGCGCAAAACTATAGTTCGGCCGTTCAGAGAATGCGTTCCTGACACGTCGCGATTGAACTGACGACGTAACTTTGTAATGGCGTTGCAGTTACGATAAAAATATTTTTGCTGGTTGTTTACCGCTTTAACAATTGATGAGTATTAAAACAACATTATTATATCAATAATCAATGAGTTTTATAATTTTGTGCCAAACTGAGTGTCAAATAACTTGGTAAACAATATTTTTCTAAATCTATACTGCGCTATTACAAGGTTATGTCAGCGCTTTATATTTGTAGTGCTGTGCTAACAATAACAGGCAATAACAGTATCGTAATCTGTTCTTATACAGTTATACTTTATAAAATAATACGTTTTGTTTTTCTTTTTAAGAATTTGAAAATAATGGACTATAAGATAACTTTTATTAAATATAAAAATAAAACTACGACCAAACCGAACGCGCGAAAGAAAGTAGCATTTTTATATTTAGGTTGAAAATGGTAACCCCAAATGGCGTTATGGGCAGCCATTTTTGACGCTAAAACAGTCGTCTGTTGTCGTTTCATGCGCATAGACCACGTTCTTCAAGTGTTTTCGATCTGTTTTTATTTGATTACCCGGCTTTTGTTTAATGGACTGTTTCTATTTTTCAAACTGACATCGGCGCTAAATCGGATTTCGATTGTGTTTTGTATTGCGTTCTTTTTACTTTTGGTGCATAATAATACCTTAACGTGGACAAACATTGAAAAGTGGAGCCCGTGAGTTAATCATCAAGCTGCAAGATTACTTTGAGCGGGAGCGGCAAAACCCCTGTTACCTGTCGAACAAGTACAAGAACGCGTCTCTCAGGCGCTTGAAGTTAGCAAACGAACGATAACAAATATTAATAAAGAAAAGTTCGGCTCTACTGGCACGGAAGATAATATTTTACGTACTCCGAAGAAGAAACGTAGAACTAAACCCGTGACAGATATTGACACCTTTGACGCCGATGCAATCAGAAATCATATATATGGTTACTATTCCAGAAATGAATATCTCAACAGGAAGAAGCTTTTGGCATCATTAAGAGAAGCTGGACTGTTTAGCGGGGGTAAAACTGCTTTAACCAAAATCTTAAAAGATATTGGTTTTTCGTATAAAAAAAACAGACAAAAGAAAAATTTTATTAGAACGATACGACATAATTTTAAATGGGATAAGTTTTTTGAGAGAAGCAAAAAATATTGATAACTGGGATAATGCCGTGTTCATTGACGAGACATGGCTAAACGCCAATCACACGGTTTCCCGTTCTTGGACGGATGATACACAAGCGTCGACGTCGAAAGTACCAATGGGTAAGGGGGCCCGTCTGATAATATGCCACGCAGGTTCTGCAAAATACGGCTTTGTGGAGAACGCGTTACTGGCATTTCAATCAAAAACCACAAATGACTACCACGAGGAAATGAATGCCACTACATTTAAAGAATGGTTTCAGAACGTGCTTTTGCCCAGCCTACCAGAGCCTTCTGTAATATTCATGGATAATGCCTCCTATCACTCGGTTCGAATACAGAAACCACCTACCCAAGCTAATAAAAAAGAAGAAATGGTGGCTTGGTTACAAGCAAAAGGCATTGACGCAAATATGCAGATGCTAAAACCAGAGCTAATGAAATTAGTTAAAGAAAATAAAGCGTCAAATGTGCTATACGAAATCGATGAACTGGCTCTGGAGTACGGTCATCGCGTTCTAAGAATTCCACCGTATCATTGCCAATATAACGCGATTGAGCTAATCTGGGCTCAAATAAAAGGTTATGCCGCCCGCCACAATACTTCCCCGCCATTCAGCACGAAAAAGATGATGACCCTATTAAAAGAAACCTGCGAGGAAGTCACAAGAGATGACTGGGCAAAGGTTGTTGAGAAGACTAAAAACCTGATTGTGGAACATTTTGACCGAGATATCAGGATTGATTCTGTTATTGATAATAATATAATTATACATGTAGGCGAAGATGATGATGAAGACACCACCTCCTCAAGCGAATCGAAGTCTAATTAATATTCTGTACGCCCATTCAATTCAATGTACTTTATTGCATAGAAATACAGATTGTAACTTTGTAACAAAGAATAAATAAAACAATTTTATTATATTAATATTACCTTTTTTTGCTTTCCACTAAAATTACTAAAATATAAATTTTAAATGATTCCGCCAATTTAAAACGAAAATAATCTTAAAAATAACCCGGCGGTTCATTTTGGAGGAACGGTAACGAACTCAGTGTTATGTTGTGCCCATCACTAGTCGTTACTAACTGATAGGTGTCAGGAACGCATTCTCTGAACGGCCGAACTATAAGCACGATTTGGAATGTGGCATTGGCAGACTTGATGGAGGAAAAGAAAATCTTTATATTTAGCTCTTTCTTCAAGAAGCAGTCCCGCAGAGTTCATTGTTATCTCTATGTGTGTCGAATGAATACTGACAGCAATCATTAGTTCGCATGCGTTTTGAAAAATTCTACAATGAGTTATAAAACGGGCCCCGAGGTCAATTGGAGACTAAATTCGAGTATTAAAAACCATAATGTGGAAATGGTATTAGAACTACTTTTAGAACCTATGCTGGCACTATTTGTCATAGCTTCTTGAGATACTACGAGTACCTATATTCCTTTCAGTTATTTGATTTCATAAAGTATCAAACAACTAAGACTTTATTATATTTCTACACGAAAACGCCCCTCCGCACGTTTCTGACTATAGTTTCGAGAAGAAACTCTCCGCTATCCATCATCGTACTCCTACTGATTTTGATTTTCTTCGGAATTCGAATAGAGTTTTACAAGGGAAGGATTCCGATGAGTCTGTGAAAAATGGCCTTAAAGCCTTGTTATCGTTTCCAGCGTTCGTACTTATGCACGCGCGTTACGAATGATATTACATTTCATTCATCTTCTTGACTGAGTCACAGATCAAAAATGCTCTTTAGATGCAGCCTACCTTGGCTACCTGTTGGAGCATAAATTCCACCAGCGCCGGAGTCTGTATGCATGTCTGTATGCAACAACATCTGCTGTACGTGTCTCCATCACCTTGAAAACCCCACTAGACACAGTAATGGATAAAATTATTTATTCTTGTGCTCTACCTGTCGCACTGCGGTGACCAGGAGATAACTAGGCTATTTGAATGCGTCAGTGAGACCTCTGATATCACCGTAGTAAATTGGCCCTACTGCACAACTGGTTTTGGGACTCCAATGCCTGTCATCATGACTGGCTACTCCTATACCAGAAGACCAACCACGCCGGGAGATAGGTGTAGAATTTTGCGTTGTCGCTGGGTCTCTCCCAGCTAGTAAAACAAGTGACTAGGGATGTGGATGGACACACAACCAACTGCCTCGACCTTTCTGCTGACGACCGATCCTTATAGATACGATGTTCAGGTTACGTCCTCCTTATTTTTCGTTTTATTCGTCACCTAACTACGATTTATAAGGTGTGCCGCGCATGTGGATATACAAGTCAGCAGATTGGGATGAGATGCGGCATTTCTTTGCATTTTATCCTTGTCAGGAGGTCTGCTTCTCTTATGAAGATCCGTCGTACTGCGCGGATGCTATAACCAATGTGATACGCCAAGCGATGGAGTATTTCAACCCCTTTGCGTCCGTATCAACAACAAGGTGCTTCTTAAAACCTTGCGAAGTCTAGACGTGAACAAAGCCAGTAAACCTGATGGTATACCAGCTATAGTTCTAACAGTCTATGCACCTGAGTTGTCTCAGGACTGGAAAAGTTCCCAAATCTAGGAAGCTAGCTAATATGCAGCCTGTGCCTAAAAAGAGCACTTGTGCCGACCCTGTCAACTAGGTGTGAGAGTACGGAATCAACCCATTTACACGTATCGCAACGTGTAAAATACGGTGGGCAAAATAACCCAATGAAAACACATTCGAATAATATTAATAAATTGGAAGCAGATGATCATCCTTTCAACCTGTTCAAAGAAATAAATCATATCATGTACACAAAAAAAATTTTTTAAGAAAATGAAAAAAATTACAATTATTACTTTATATATCATGCCATGAGCTGAAAGCCATATTAATATTTCAGACTGTCGGGTGGCGGGGAGGGCGAGGAAATGCCGTTGGCTGCGGGTACGAGTGGGCCTCGAGCTGGCCCCGCACAGTGTTCGCCGGCGAGGCGGCTCGACGCCTCCTCGTGCGACGTGTCCAGCCTGTCCAGCGGCGAAGAAGACGAGCGCATGCGTCGGTACCGCACCGCAACCGCTCAGCCGCAGGCCATCATCGTGCAACAGGTTGAACATATTCTGCCACGTTTCCGTATTAATATGTCGTATAATGGTAGAGCCACGCTGCAGCTATATTATTGTTGTAGCAACAATGGGTCGGCTCGACCGGGGAAGGACCACGCTCTCACAGAATATCAGCGTAAAATAACAGCTTAATGCTGCTAAGTTTCGTATGGTAAATGTAGAGAATCGGAGACTCTTTTTACTATTACTGGAAACGAGGCATTCCTTAGTTCTCAAGAGTGACATCGCATCTGCATTTTGATTCTTAATCGAGGATAAATGTTAATGAATATGGGCTACAGCATCCACTTACCATCAGGTGGACTCTGTGCTGGTTTGTAAGCCTTATTCTATGAAAAAATAATACACATGTGATACATTATTTGCCAGTTTGCAGAGAGCATTGTGCCTGTGCCCAGAAATAAGACATATTTTAGCTGTCCCTGTTGCTGAATTGTAATGATAGAAAAATGTTTAAAACTCTCATTAAGTGAGAGTTTTAAAGACTTTTTTATCATTACAATTAACAAAAACTCTGTCGGACACAACAGTTTCATGGGAAAGGCAAAACTTTTTAAAAATTTGGTATTTTTAAAAAAGCCAGGTATGGGCAAGTTCAATGCAGGCAAGTTCAACATATACATAGCGACCTAATGAGGCATGCATGCAGAAAATCGAGGGATGCATGTGGCTCAGAATCACGGTTTGTACGAGCAGACAATAAAGCTTGGCCGATTACTTATAATGTGACGGATTTCTCACACATTTGTTCATTAATTAGGACTGAATCATCCTTTTGGTATGTACAAACGTGTCAAATAGTAATTAAAATAACTGTGACATAATTTAGTTATATATGTGTTAGTCATCATCATCATTACAGCCCTTCACAAGTCCACTGCTGAACATAGGCCTCCCCCAAAGAATGCCACAAAGCACGGTCCTGAGCCACCTGCATCCATCGACTTCCTGTATATCTTACCAGGTCGTCACTGCATCTAGTGGGGGACGCCCTACACTTCGCCTGCCGGTACGAGGCTGCCACTCGAGAACCTTTCTTCTCCATCGGTTGTCGGTTCTTCGAGCTATATGACCGGCCCATTGCCACTACAGCTTACTAATCCGTTGGGCTATGTCGGTCACTCTGGTTCTACTGCGGATATCCTCATTTCTGAGTTTATCACGCAGAGAAACTCCGAGCATAGCCCTCTCCATAGCTCGCTGAGCGACCTTGAGCTTCCTCATCCGGCCAGCAGTGAAGGACTATGTGTTAGTGATTTTGAGGAAATGTTTAGCTTTATCTATTAAAAGTACCAGAATAACCACTTCAAGCGAACTAACGACTTTACTCGCCAATTGGTGTCAGGAAGAGTCATATTTTTCAGTTTATGTTTAAGTTGATTTGACTTTTATCTTTGTACCGAAACATTTCCAATAGCCAATAGGATAAAAATATTTGCGCAATGTCGGTTTCTTTACTAATGTAATTACTACCGTATTCTTTTTCAAAGCTCGGTCATTTTCTTCGTGTTTTTTTTTAATTACACTTGGGTACAATTTAGATTCGTTGATAAAGGGCTCCCAAATGGAATTGCTAAAATCAAAAGTGAAGTGTCCAAGTGATTTTATCAACTCCATAAGATAGGAGCGACTGGAGGCGAATAACTTGAGGTCATCCATATAGAAAAGGTGGGTCACTTTTGTACCTCTTTTCCGGAGCTGAAATCCCCTCCCGGAACCCTCCAGTAAGGTACTGAGAGGGTTCAGGGAGAGGCAAAACCAGATTGGACTTTTTTTTATAGGATAGGGTGACAAATGAGCACACAGTCCACCTAAGTGGTTACTGTGACCCATAGACATCTACATGTATCCTAAGACTCAAGATGCAGATGCGTTGTCACCCGTGAGAACTAAGATGGAATGCCTCTTTTCCAGTAAAAAGGGTCTCCGGTTCTCTACACTCACCACACGAAACACAGCAGCGTTAAGCTGCTATTTTACGTTGATTTTCTGTGAGAGCGTGGTCCTTCCCCGGTCGAGCCGACCTATTCGTGCTACAACTATACTACTAATATAGTTGCATCATGGCTCTACCACGTAAAAAAGCTTATGCAATCGCCCTGGAAGATAACCCTTCTTATCCTTATGTGACTATTCGCATCCGTCATCCGCTTGCCTAGATGACGAAGGATTGTACTCCACTGCCCCATACACTGCCCGAGGAAGTCTCGAACTGTACAGTGAACCTTGTACAGCTCGAGGACCCTCTTTAGCCATGTACGGGGCACCGAGTCTATCCAAGCGGCGGAGAAGTTCCGACAGTTGCGTTTAACCACTTTGCCAATGACCGCGTCAATGAGGAGTGGTTCTTTGGTTCCACGACCAGCGCCCCGGCATCCATTTTGAGCACGCGACATCACCTAATTTAAATCCAGGTGACGAATGATTCGCGTACTCAAAATGGATGTCAGTGTCTTATATATGGTGGATAGAGTAGACACGTAATGGGGCGGTATATCCTCTATTTGTTATTATATCCTCTATTTTTTTTGTTTATTAATTTTCTTGTGTTTTTTTTTTATTCTTTTTCGTATTAATTTCGTTTATTAATTTGTGATTGTAAACATAAGTGTCGGAATAAATGTTTTTATGTATTTGCTAGGGTCTGTAGAATGCTAGGTCTTTAAGAACCAAATGGGTGATCCCAGTGGTGAAGAGGCTCGGGAGCGACTTTTGGTCGAGAGCCTCTTGAAACTGTCGGGCGAGTACAGCGTGACACACTACGAACCCCTTCAGCCAGTAGTTATGCAGTCCGTCGAGTCCCGAACTTTTCCAGTTTGGGGCCCTACGGACCGCCCCAGCTACGTCATCCGGCGTTATGATGACGGGGTTCATGGGCATAACACTAGCACACTGACTCGCCACAACTTCCATCCAAGGGCTCTCGCTGTGGTTTACCGACTCTGACCACAGGCCGAACCAGAATGCGACAGTGTCGGCCTGATTCGGTGCTGGGCCCGTTCCACGTACCATTGGCCGTTCCAATGATTCATAGAGCCTCTTCTGATCACTCTGGAAGAGATGATTCTGGTTGAACCATGTCGACCTCTCGGTATATCGCCGAATCCGTTTTACCCAAGCAGCGATTCTCTGCTTCAGGTCGTCTATGCGCTCCGTCAGATTTTGCTTTATATCCGGCTGAGACTAACTGACATTTGTCCCAGCAAACGCCATTCTGACGGTGCGCACAATTCTTGGTCTGCTATTGCCCGACCTGAAGCTTATCAGTCTGCGAATAAAGGCCCTAGCCTTTGCGATACGTTCCTCAATTCTTATTCTCCAGGCTGGGACGGCGCTACTATGTCTAGTAGCACGTCCAGCCATAAGGAGTTTGGCGCCAATAATACGGCATACTGCCAGTGCGGCATCAAAAAGAATTGAGTCCGTCTCGCAAAGGTCCCGCCTGGCTTCCAAATAGGTCACCAGCATTGGGCTTAGAGCCTTTACGACAGCCCGATTCCGCTTACTTAGAGGTATGCGAGTTGCGAGGTAGTCGCGTTCGATACTCGAGAGGCGTACTGCGCGTTTCCTCAATCGCCTCTACCGATATACTCCTCATTTGCTCTAGTCCTATTTCCTGGGTGACTGTTCCATCATCGTCTGAATCAACCACAACTGGGGGATTCACGGTGGCATCCACGTGTGCTGGCTGCTCTGCAACTTGTGGCGCCGCATCCTCAGCTGCAGTATTTTCATCCGATGAGGGAACAGCCTCACGTCGTAGCTATTCGAGTTCGGTACCATCAAATATGTTCGAGCGCAAGATATACCGAACTCGGTCTGCCAGGTTTTGCTCGGTGACGGTTATAGATGGCTCCAGCTCAGCGAAAAGTCGATGCATCCTAGCCCGATGCGCTAATATTCCAGTTTCTCCAAAACCTCCAATTTCTCCCCCTTTCGCCCTAAAGTACGCCATCCTGACCTGACCTGACCCGCGAAGACCCTGCCTTCACCAAGCCAGCTGGTGGGGATGATGGATGCGAGGGGCTGCTGGGTGGCCGTGCAGCACCTCGCGCTCGGCTGGCGGTTCGCATGCTATCGCATCCAGCGCCAACTCCAGACGCGCCCTGGCGACGTCCAGGCAGCGGCCCTTTGCACGTTCTTCTTTGTTCCATCATCCCTTAAATGGGCGTCAGTTAATGGGAGACGCCCAGATCCGGCACCGTTTCATGGTGTGGCCGTGTGCATAAGCGGGCCTTTGCACCTTCAATTTTGCCGAGGCACGGCGCTAACACCCCTTGCAAGGTGCTGACTGACTGCGCTGACGTAGCAGTTTTGTCACATAACCGTTACGTCAGTTATTATTATTGTGTATATATAGTGTAATTGTAAACGAAATAAAAATTATTATTATTATTATTCGTCTATTACAGCTTGTCAAACGTCCACTGTTGAACTTATGTCTCCTCCGTAAATTGCCTCAAAGGCAGATTGGTTTTTACTTTTTATGATCTTCGGTTTTCATCACCAGTTACGACACCCACGGGGTGATATTGGGTAGTGGATATCTTTACGCCGCCACTACACAGCGACCACCATAACACATAAATAAAACAACTTTTCTTTTTTAACAGGCAAGTACGCATTCACGAGCACTAAAACCGCTTGCGGTCAGTTCGGCGAATGCGGTTTCTCCAACAGCTGTTCCAAGTACTTCGAATCCTGGCGGGCGCCGCCCCCCACCACGGAACGTATCCTTCGCCGGCGGTCCCGACGGCGAAATCGTACTCAGCCCCGCGCAGCTGCGCTCCTAACCCACAAGCAATAAATGTTGTTGCAATACTCTTTTTTATTACGTACTCCTCGGAAGAACTGACTCTATTTTCGAGCGTCTCGCTCTTAATTTCGATTATGTGATGCATAGCGTAAGACTCTGACCGTTTTAAAGTTTAAGTGGTTTCTCGTTAAGACACGAGGTCGACGATTATTTGCACGTTTGATTACTATACTAAATCTAAATTTAACTTTCGTTTGCTAAATTTTGCCTGACGCATCAGTCCGCCTTTATAAACTAAGTTTAATTTTTTTTATTGTATATATGGATTATGTGATGAGACTTAAAGAGGTGATAATACATGGGTTTTAATATATATATATATATATATATATATATATATATATATACGTATCGGACTAACATTTTTAGATCCAGCGAGCTGTGTATTCGTTCACACTCAGTTTTCCTCGTTGAAATTTGGCTCGTTGAAATAAAAGGGATAAGGATATATTTTTAACCGGTACTTCAAAAAAGAGTAGATACTCAATTCTACTGTATGCTCTTTTTTATGTTACCTTATGACTTTTTTCTAAGTGAACCGACTTTGATAATTCTTTTTTTATTTGAAAGCTGGTGTTTATCATGTGGTCCCATATAATTTTGATCAAGGTCTGACCAGCAGCTTTTGAGCTATCCTCAATAATTTAATATTGAAGTTGGTATTTTACATTGTACGGCAATGCCTACCAAAATGTAAACCCAAATTTAATTGTTTAAATCGGAGACTATTATCACCTCTAAGATTTCAATAGCAATACTTGAATTCAGTAAAACTCTGTAAAGCAACTGTGTAGCGAATTGAATACTAAACGTTCTAGTTCCATCCGTATCAATTCAAGGTAATTACATGTATTAAGAGGTGTGGTGCTTATAAAGCGCACTGAATCAGAAGATCATTACTAAAATTCTTTTTCTATTTTCAACATAGCATATAGTATACACCTACTTAGAGATATGTATCCGAAAGATTCCTTCGAGCGATCCTGGTCAATGGATTTGATATTGCTTACGCGTAATAATCTAAGAAATATTGGATAAAAAGAATAAATGTTGCGACCACACCTCAATGTAATTTTATAATAAATAATGTAATATTAAAGAAATTGTTTTAAAACTGCCTATTATTAGATGCGAATTTATATTTAAATAAAAATAAATTTCATAAAAATAGATTTATAACTGACAATAATGATTGTTAACTGATGTATAAAGTGTTATGCGTACTTACGATAATTTTATTTTAATTATGTCCAACAATGCAAGTAGTTCAACCGTCGAGTTGCTTAATTTTATAAATTTTAAGAAAAAATATTTCATATATGAAAAAATATTATGTTACTTGACTATTTCATCTTGGGTTTTTAGCGTCTATTCTTTAATGATATAAACATTTTAAAACAATCGAGAAACTTGACGTCTGAACTACGAAAATACACCAATATTATTATATAATTAAATTAATATAATATATAGTTAGCTGATAATATTAAAATTGGTGTATAGTGAGGAATACTGTGTGACAGTAATGTTTTTATGTATAAGATACTATGGTAAATTTAATATTAAATATGTGTGTTATGCGTGCATTGTATATGGCACAACATAGTAAATATTGTTTATAAATATATATTATACATATTTTAGAAATATTTGCACCTTTCGTAGTGAAATATTTAAGTGTATATCCGCAGAATTTAGCTAAGATACATTTATAAGGGGACTCACTTTTATTAAAGAAGTGAATAGAAAGAAAAAATAAAAAATAAATTTCTAAGAATCGTAATCAAGAAAAATTTTATAAGTGGTTAAAGAAATTTTTGATTAGTTTTTGTCAATTATATCTCTATCTTTGTAATCAGGTTATAAAGAGTAGTTGTTTTGGATTATTTAAATGTAAGAATGGTCAATTACTTAATATTTATTTTTATTATAGGATTCGTATTCTCGCTTTGTTTGGTATCGATTTTACAATACATATACTGCATGAGATGGAAACACTTCATAAAGCTAATTTTAACTCTAATTCAGTGATGGTGTGTTAGCTTTCGTAGTCTCTTTTAAAATAAACACCTCAAAATTATATGAAATATTACATTTAAATGTTTTTCTCAATAAAAATTGTTTTTCTTTATCAATTTCTTAATTTTTATAAAAGATTGCATAAATTAATTTTAAAACTTACACTTCCGATATTTTCTATGATTTTAAGAAGAAAATATTTTATTATAATCTTGAAAATAAAGCAATATACCAAGAATCGGTAGTAACCTTTCATTATATTTAGACAAATTTTCATATTATTAAACATAAAAATATTAGAAATGGAATGCCTAAGTTAAAAATTATAAAAGATTATAACAAAGTAATTTTGATGTAAATTCGTATTAACTCCAAATATACCAAATATTAACTGTACTTTTCATCAAATAAAAAACACAATCTTGTTGGCATGGAGGGGTTCCTGAGTTTATCCTCGAAATGTCAACAAAAAGAACTCAAGATAAATTACTGTATAATCAGACCAACAATGAAAAATAGATGCAGGCGCTACGTTCGAAGTGATGCCGAAACCATGTTCAACTTCTTGACACGCATACATCTTTGTTCCTTCTTTCTTTAACAGGCCGTAAATTCTACTGCTGCACGCTCACATATGCACCTAAAACCACTTTGTTGGTAGCAAATAATTTTTGATGCATATGTGTGCGTGAGTGTGAGTTCCTATCATATGTAGAACATGGTTTTGGCTAGGTTACAACGTCACGTAATGTACCTACTTACATAGCGCTCCGTCTGTCTTTCTTTGTTAATATGATGAAAAGTTACACCAACTTAAAACAACAAATTTAATATCTACGTAATCTGTACCCACAAATAGATGTTAAGGAAAATATGAGCTTTATTTAGACTTACAGGTGGCTTGTGTAACGAAGTGTTGTGTATGTTATCGAAGTAGATTCCCATTACACTATCATCTATCCTGCTTTTCACATTTCTATACACTGTTTTTTATCTGTGCTTCGTTCTCACAAATACATTATTTTAATAGATTTTGTATTATTATAAACTTAACGAAATGCAATTTTTGTATGAAATATTTATTACCAAAATATTATCATTCACAATCGATACCCACTATCAAGCGCACATAACTGGTGACAGGGTTCAGATTTTATATTTGTCTAAAAGCAGAATATTATTCATTTACTGTTTTACTACTTCTTAACAAAACTACATTTTCCCCAAAAAATATTTTTACATAAAAAAATCTGCTTATAAAATTACTATATCACCTATATAAAGGAACAATATTTAACTAAAATTTTAACACCCTCGAGTAAGATTTTAACACGTTCGATAATAAATAATTATTCATGGCACATAAATAAACTGACACTATAGATAATAATGTACCTAACGTAAGATTATCTTTTTTGTTATCACTCTCCAAAATTGCTAGTAAATATACCTACAAAAAGGGGTATTCATATTAATTAATTATTTGGAACATGATATGTTTCCATATAGAATGTGTTAATATAATTTGTTATGTACATACTTACTAAAAGAACACAATAGTTAATATCTGTTTGACAACAAAAATTATATAACGGCACCTCCTTGCATCGGATTTGAATATTTAAATTTTCTATTGAAATATATACAGAGTTTTAGTTTCTAATTATTCTTATTACAACCCACCACGAACATACAAACATATTAGGAAGTGATTAATTTATGTGTGCTTTGCAATATCTAGGCTATATGTATGGGTATGTATTTTTATAAACGACTTCAGCTTACCTATAAATGTATTACCGTAAAGTATGTGTGCTTCCATATAAGCTTAAATAGGAATTCGATGATAATTTTCTCTCATAATTCTAGAAATGTTGGTAATGAAATATAGCTGTAAAGTATTTTATAAGCTATTTTACGCTATTTTACGGCCTAATTTATAGCTACGTTTTGATTCTTCTCAGCATATAGTACTGTTCCTATTAAAAAGCACCCGATCCTGTCTTTTCTTTATCTATATAGAAGAAAATTGTTACTTCATTTATAGCAAATATAATTATGTGTTCAGATACCAGATAAAACAATTATATGCACAAATGGGTGTTGCTATTCTATGTCGCGATAGAGATGAGCATATTATCTGGTTTTCACTTTTAACCATATTCATATAATATACTATAGTAAGCTAGAACAAGCTGTTTACTTTTCTCGTGATTACTTCTTGTATATTAATTTGCTAACACAGTAAGCATCACTTCTATATACACAGAAAAATGCTGAAGCATCATACCGTAGCTATATAATCAAGCATAAAATAATTTGTCGTGTTTACTGGATACATACTCTATATATTGTACATAATATTTAAAATAATTATAGCTGCAACAGTAAATAATAGGATTATATAACATACTGGTTACCGTTTTCAATTTTGTATAGAAATAATAATATGGCTTTCTAAGGACTGTCTCACTTATTATAAGTTGCGCCGACCAATACGAAGTTGTTCAAATGTTATAGTATAAGTTATTTAAGATATAGTTTGATCTGTAAAAATCGTTCCTTTAGGTAACGTATTTATTTTAATAATAGTTTATATTGTAGCTTGAAAAGACTAACTTTGTTAATTTTTAACACATCTATCCTATTGTCTACGTTTGATTGCTAAAATATATCTGCAAAATCAGAGTATTCAGCAGGCTGTAAGCAATTGACACAAGCATAATATACCTCAATTCCCTTACCTTATGAATTTTGAAATTGCTATTGATTCAATATCCTTATTCTTGTCTTGAATGGGAAAGTGACCAGTAAACAATATCGGTGAAAGCAGTGAAAGGTACGTTAATATTATAAATATACGTTTTGTATATCCTCGATGATGAGGTGCAAACGAGAATTGGATAGAATGACCACTGTGATTTAAATGTTGATTATGCGAAGTTTATGTGGAGTGTG